GCCGTCTGCGAAATATCGCACGGGCCCTATGATGATCATGCAGCATTGCAAATCCTCGTAAAGCACCTCAGAAACCTGCCGCGGTAAGAGAAAGAAAAAAGATCGTGTGTACATGAATGACACGTGGGATGAAAAAAAAACACGCACTTAAGAATTTCAAAGTAATACAGATTTTCAAAGATCGCCACGCGTTATTAATTGCATTTTACCGCGGTAGTGTTGTTTCAATTTTCATATTCATTCACTTCAATAATTTATTCACATATTTACACAAGTTTTCATTATCTCATTAATTCATCTATTTATTTGTATTTGTTTTCATTTGTTCAGTAATCATGTTTATTTATAATCTATTTATTAATTTTAACTATTCAGTGCTTTATCTACCTGTTTATTTTATTTTCTATTAACCTAATTATTCGTTTATAAATTCATTTGCTACAATTTTGGTGTACCAAAACCTAATCACAATCGTAGCGTAATTTCAAAAGCCAGTAATCTTCAGTGTGGAATTATTATTAGAGTGACAGATTTTAACGGTACCCATGATTAAGGGATTTCGGGATGCAATAGTATCTACAAAATATATAAGATATAACATCAGATATAATAACACTCACAGTTTGTATTCTGGGATATGATGAGTTGAGGACAACATGGTTTCTTGGGTATACAAAAATCGGAAATGCATAGGACTATCTACGAGGACTGCCGTTTCCTCTCTTCTCTCTATTCAGAGGTATGTGGGTGTTTGTAAAGGGTGTGTGTGTGTGCGCGTGCGTGAGTGTGTGTACGTGTTTGTGCGTGTGTGTGGGTGGATGTGTGTGTGTGAGGAGGTGCACCACATTGTTGTCATCACCCTTTTCTACATTCCTGGTATGTGTGTCAAATTGCCAAAATATATACTTTGAAATGATTAATGTCCCCCATATATTCTTTCAAATAAATATATGAACATATGATAATGGCGCCCTGTATTTTTACATTTGAAAATGGATATTGGTTTGGGTTCATGATTATTATCTTGTGTCCATTCTGTGGAGAGAGGGGGGGGGGGCTGATCTTACTAAATCATCAAGTACTTAAGTTGGTTTACTGAAATCTGTTTATCGTCATAATATAGAGAACAAATTACTGTGTCATTCTCTTCCATACAAAGCCCCTCCCCCACATTTCTTCTCTCTCTTTCCCCTCTCTTTCTCTCTCTCTCCCCCCTCTCTCTCTCTTCCTTTCTCGATTTTAATTTTAATTTCCTGTGAAGGGGCGCAAGTTTCCGTTCCCCTTCCCCATAACCAAAGGCGTAGATATGTAGTCGTATGTTCGCTATCCGCTATCCATAATCTGCTAATATAACAGTACAGCACGTTTGAGTTCAGATCATGCATACAAGGGGAAAATAAGCTGATAAGAACCTGTTTTATGAACATGGTTTTGTTATAATATTGTGTTATTCCTGCTTTAATTAAATGTCTAATAAAGTAAACGTTAACACGCTGATGTAAAACAAGAAGAAGAAAAAAAAATCAAAATCGCAACTTACCGTTTCAGCTCTGGAAGTAAGCGTTATATCGGGCGAGGAATTTTTTTTCAGATTTTCATCGGTATTTGTATAGGCTTTTCATGGGAGTCATCAGCGACTGATTTCAGACAGACGAAATTCAATGGGTGTACAGGCATGAACCATTGCAAAATCGTCAGGTCTGAAAGAGGTGAATAACATATCTTCATTTCAAAAATGATGTTTATATCTCATTCTATAATATGTATTAGGCATTTTCACTTGCATTTTGTCCTCTTTTTTGTAAACTATACTTTTTGTATGCGTTTGTGGGAAAATGACAAATTCCCACATTAATAGTCAGGCAAAAAATATGCCTATTTAGAAGCCTACATGTCAGGGCCTGCAGAACGGCGGGTCTCGGGGAGCTCGAGCTCCCCCACCTTTTGAAAAAGTATATTGAGGAGATTAAGAAAGAAAGAAAGAATAGTGACATGCCAGTGTCACAAATGAGTTATCAAAATATGCTCATCTGACCTTAATTCAAAGCCTAAAACCCCTGAGCTTGCGGGGGCTCTGCGCCCTGGACCCTACCAGGAGCCTTAAGGCGGGCCCCTGAATGCTCATTTGACCATAATCAAATGCCAAAACCCTTAAGCTTCACGGGGCTCAGCCCTCTGGACCCCACGCCAATTAGTGACCTGCCAGTGTCACAGATAAGATATCAAAATTTGCTCATCTGACCGTAATCAAATGCCTAAAACCCCTGATCTCGACCCCTGCAGTGCTTTGCCCCTAGATCCCATCCCAATTTACGCTACGCTCTACCTGATCGTCAATACTTAAGCACACCCCCCCCCCCCAACACACACACTTTGAAAAAACTTTCCGCAGGGCCTGCATGAAACGAGACTTAATCATAACTGAGTTATGTCGTCATAGAAAATGTACCGGATGAGAAACAAACTCGTTGCCCCTGTGAAAGCGGACGGTTGCTCGAAATTAGTGAATTCAAAATGCGGGGGGGGGGGGGGGGGGGGCTGCAGTCCCTCATCCCCAGCGTCGTACGCATTTAGGGTCAACGAACCGAATATCTTATCAGGCGCCTTTCCCGAAAGCCTCAAATTAACTTCAGTAGTGCTTGTATCTAAAATGCAAATGTCTTTTTCCAAAAAAATATTTTGTAAAAAGCATCAAAACATGAATCAACTTTTAAATGATAAAGTCATAGAAAAAAGGATATCTATTTTACATGCAATACTGAAGTTAAATGGACTTTGAGCAATGTAATGTACAGTCACAAGTTAAAGCTCTCTCTCTCTCTCTCTCTCTTTTCACCCACCACACGCAAATATTTAGGCTAAGCTAGTTATACCTATATCATTTTCAAAGAGTGTAAATATACATAAGATAGTAATCAGTGCCAACAGTTTCTCCCCGCACACTTGACGAATATTAACAATATGATCACATTATTGTTCAATACGGCAAAGAAATTGGTTACTTCAAGGTATTTTCAAACCCTTTATATTAGTAGAAGAGAAATACTAATTACGTGAGGACAATTAAAGATTAAAAACAAGGTTGTCGTTTTCCGAATAGCCATGGATACCATTTCTAGTCTGGAGAAGCGTTTGCTAGCAAGTCACTGATCAATATTAGCGTCATGCTGTCGCAGATAATCAGTTTTATGCAAGCAAAGACCTAGAAGTTCCATTGATTGTCCATATTTACTTCCTCCTGCTCGCGGGTTTTTTTCACACCATATCTCCTTTTCGTCCGTTACCCCCCTCCATCCCCTCCCCGCCCCACCCCTCCCACACACCCACACGCATTTCATTCTTCTCATCATTATACAAACTTTAAAATACCACAATGACATTAAAATAAAACAATTTTATTTTAGAGAAAATTGAACTAAATATGATATCGAACAAAATGTCACAAGTACTGGGTACTTTGCTTTTAAATGTCCGCGTGTGAAGGTACATTGTTATAAAAACTTTACCAGCTGTTCACGGGAAATATTTTGATGTTATGTTTTAAAATACTGCTTTTATTCATAATTGAAACACAGAGTTATAGTTGCATGCATACATAGTTTTTGTTACTGTTTATATATATAGCCTGCCATAGGTAAGTAGGTTTACAGTTTCATCATATATCACTTTAACAGTGTGTTTTATTACATATTACGACACCAGTAAAACAACGCACTGTATTACACTCTTGAAATACACGATACAAGATTTCATAGAGTATTGCATACATGAGTATGTTGTTATGCACAACTTTACTTGAGTATATATTCTATCAAAACTACAACTGACGCAGGTTTCATATATATGAGGCAAGCAATCTATATACATGTTTGATCATAAATTCTTTTATCACGTAATCGTCTATTTATTTATGTATTTCAAACATTTTTTTTTTAAAAGACAGATTCTTTCTATATAGATACATACGTGTAACATCAATAGTATACAAATTTGAAAAAGCTAATAAGAGAGATCTATGATAAACTGAATAGGAATTCAATACATAATTGGGATTTAATAATCTGAGATCAATAAATAATCGTGTTACTTTTAATTGATATCACTTTTTGAGAAAACATCGAACGTTCTTATTATCCAAAATCATTTGAGGGTAAGAAAAGACAATCACGAGAAAGATACATTTTGATTTATTTTTTGGTTTGAGAGGTAGAAAAAAGAAGAAAAAAATCAATATATAGTCGTAGTAGTAAAAATGATATATAGTAGTGAAAATGTGTAATTTGTGAAATTGTGAGATAAACAGAATAATCGTGGGCATACATCTATAAATAAATCACTAATCGTTATTTCCTACAGTTGTTGATCACACCATGCATACAGTATTCGAAGTATAAGTAGACGTTTGAAGGGCCAATGTAACCCAACTAACATAGCCTTTCCAAACATGAATACACCTCTACTTATTAATATTCCAGCCTCCGATTTTTCAGAATATCTCTAAATTGACCAAAAAATGATAATAACCATCCATTTTACAGATCTCACGCTTGCTTGGCTACGCCCTCGAAAAAGGTAATACGGTCACGTGGCTTGATGGCGCAGTTGACGTCATTGCGGGAATGTCCTTGTATTTGTCCTACAACTAAAGATCTTACAATCTCATTGTTATTCATAATTAGGAGTGACGAAATTGCCAGAAACGTACTGGGATTATCAAGTGCATATTATTTTTCGGATAAATATTTTTTTTCTTCTCAATTGATATCATAGTTTGCCTAAGACATTTTAATGCCTAAACCACCTCCTTTTTACCTAGAAGTCTCATGCAGGGACGTCATATGCTATTGCGCAATACAGCTCCGAAACTGGGTCTTTTCTGAGCGTTCTGAGTCGTAATTTGTAAACCTGGATTACAGAATTATTGCTGATTTCTATTTAAAAAAATCATTATCATGTTCGGAATGTCCCTCAAAAATTATTCTACATGTCTTTTTTTTTTATTTTTTAGCCCGTTTTGGTTAGAGTGGCCGTTTAAGAAATAGAAGAAGAAAAACACAACATCTCTCCTTTCAACCATGATTGCATTGTCGAGTTGGTTTGGACTTAACACCATCAAGCTGCAGTAACCTCTGAATAAAAACAAAAGATAAATATACAGTAATTAGAAGTTAGCATACAATTTGATTTCCTGCTTGAAACACAGTTTTAGATTTAGTTCTCTTCTAATTAGTAGGAGACCAGCCAGTAGGTCCCGTGACCTATCTCTTGGAACAAAGGTTTGAAAGTGTTTTTGTGTTCCCTGATGAATACCGGACAATTTTGACTTGGGCTGCAGGAAATAAATCCCAGGCATTTTCGTGAGGGGTCAACAAAGGTCACACAGGGATAGAAATTCAAATAGCTCCAATCGTGTCAATATGCATATCAAATTACTCGTCTGGTCATGAGGATTCCAGAAATTTATAGTTTGCTATACCTCCGACCATAAATGAGGGCGCTATGGTAAAAAACGTGAAAAGGTCAATACACTTTTGACTGGTGGTCAAATTCACCAACACATTGAACCTTATTAAATTGCATATCAAATTACTCGTCTGGTCATAAGGATTCAAAAAAATGTGTAGGTTGTTATACCTCCGACCTTAAATGAGGGCGCTATGGTCAAAAAGGTCATTGCACTTTAGAAATTCACCAACACAGTTAACATCGTCCAATTCTAATGATTTTAGTGTCTAATAATTTGTTTTCCGACATAACAAGTTCAACTGAGCAACTTTTAAAATCAAATGTGATTGCCATAATCTTGAAATTTCCCCAAAACCCATGGATAAGAAGTTGTTAGATGTTTGTGACGGAAACGGCAGCAATTTTGAATGTACGTGGTCAAGGTAAGCACTTTAAATTTTGAAAGTTGTATAGTTGAATTTGCCATGTTGGTTATGATACGCACAACCAGCTGGCTCGTGTAGTGTTATTATTATTAAACTAGCAGGACCCGCGGAAATCCGCGGGATTCTAGAGGGGGGCGGGGGGTGTAAATACATATATAGAGAGTGTTTAAATTAAAACCACCAAGAACTTTATTTGCCATTCAGGCCATTAAATAAAATATACATGTTTAGCGTCCCCGCCCGCTTCCTTTTTGGGGGCCGCCTCCTATTTATTTATTTTTTGAAATTTTTTTGATTTTTTTTTTTTTTTTTTTTTTTTTTTTTTTAAAGAAAATAAAACAGTGTCCTGTCCGTTTCCTTTTTGGGGGCCGCCTCCTATTTTTTTTTTTTTTTGAAAGAAAAAAAACATGAAAAGCACTGCTAAAATTATTTCTGATATTAAAAAAGAAAAAAAAACAATTGTCGGCCGCCATCTTGAAAAAAAGCCCGAATGTCAGGGAAAATGTATGGAGCGGCCATTTTGAAAGAAGAAAAAAAAAAGGGCCTCCTCATTCCCATTTTTCGAAAAAAACAGGACGCTAAACATGTTTTTTTTTAAATCTGGCCCTTTATAAAAATTTAAAAAACGATCCAACTGTACCGGTAGTTATTCTTCAAGCCACTGGAACTGCGTAGAGTTCCGTAGTGTGGCGTACCGACTACGCAGAAATTAGGCTACGTATTAATGAGAAAATAGTCCCTGCGTAGGTTATGCGTAGGCTGGCGTACAGGTTTGCTTATGGTTGCTTACTATGTGGAAAGCTTTTACTGCTTTGTCGATCTGGCGTAGGGTAGCATACTGTTGCGTAGGCATATAGCGTAGTGTTGCGTATGTAAAAAGGCGTACTTTCTACGTCAAGTTTCTACGCCGAAAGTACGCGAAAAAAATTAAACATGTTGAATTGTTTTCGTTCATCTTGCGTACCCAGTTCCGTCCCTCAGCATATAGTAATGTAGGCCAGCGTAGTTGGTACGCAACACTATGCAACTCTAGGTATTGACCCCACGCCAATTAGTGACCCGCAAGTGTCACAAATAAAGTATTAAAAATATGCTCATCTGACCCTAATTAAACGCCTAAAACCCCTGAGCTTTCGGGGGTTTATGGACCCTTGAAACCCGTGGACCCCACGCCTATACACTCAACTCGCTGCAATCTGATCTCTCCCCCCCCCCCCCCACCAACTTTGAAGAACGTAACCCCTGAGCTTTTTGGGGTTTATGGCCCCTTGAAACCCGGGGACCCCACGCCTATATTATATATACACTCAACTCAGGACCCGCGGAAATCGCGGGATTCTAGAGGGGGGCGCAGGCAGAAAATTAAGATTTTCATTTCGGGGGCTCTATTTCAAATTTTTGGAAAAATTTTCGTGGGCTACTTTTTTCAACTTTCGGGGGCTCTTTTTTCTGGGGTTACTTTTTCATTAATTCATCAAAGGATATAGGCCTTCACTTTGTTGAGATTTGTTTAGAAGGCTCAGGTTTCAGGCTACCTACTTCATAATTGCCTATTTTAAAAAAAAAAAAAAAATTCTAGTTCAATAACTAAGTTTTCATGCATTGATTTGATGCAAGAACTGTAACATAATATACTCTAGATTGTGATTATTTCTGACCATGAATTTCGATAATCATTCTTCAAAGTAAAATTTTCACAAGAAAATCAGGTAGTCGTTTAAAAACGTAGACATGAGTAATACTTTTACTAATTCTAAGCTCAGGTTTCGTAAATCTATTCACGAAACTATATTGAAATCGCGGCAATAATGATGCAAACCAACAGATAACAATTTCAAAGTGTCAAATCTCTTCGACTCGAGCTCAGCTCAGCTTAACTCACACACACTACAGCGTAACTCCATAGCTCGAACACCGGCGCCGCAGGCGTCGGACGCCTGCGGTGCTCGGTGCCGGTGTTGGAGCTTCCTGCAAGCTCGTCTCAACTCACACACACTGAACAGAAGCCCTGCACTGTATGAAAGCAGCTTGCGACTAAACTGTCAGTCCAATGGTTTTCTTGTGAAAACTTTCCTTTAGAAAATGATAATAAAAATTTAGTATAGGTCTAGACTATATGGCCGTAGTAATCACAAAATAAGCTTTGATTTCATACCTCCATTCACGAAAACTATATCAAAATCGCGGCAATCATGATGGAAATAGGTCTCTAAGTTTGGACGTGGACGGGATCGAAGCTTCGTGTGTATCTCTGCGGCTTGTGCAGCTACTACAAAGGATATCCTATACAAAGATGCTTTACTCGGGTAAGCCCGACCGTGTGCATCGTGCATTTAATACGCAACTTAATGTGAGTTGCTCGTCGTCTGTCGTGTGTCTACGGATGTCATGTTGAATATCCATGAGGTGTCTCTGTCGTCACGCATATCCTGCATTATGCATATCGCGTCTGTTTTCGCCCTGGACGTCGACACGGAGGAGGAACTCGGGCGGAGTATAGCCAATTCCACAGAGTAGACTCTCCCCCGGACGATGGCACCGGGCACCGGGACCCCGAGGGGAGGGTTCAGGAGGAGATAGCCGCACCAACTTGGGTCGGCGATCTCATTAAAAAACAATAGAATACAAAGGCTGGCGGAGACGTCGCGCCCCCGCGGAGCCTTAGCGTATTATTATTATTATACTAGCAGGACCCGCGGAAATCCGCGGGATTCTAGAGGGGGGCGGGGGGTGTAAATAGATATATAGAGACTGTCTAAATTAAAACCACCAAGAACTTTATTTGCCATTCAGGCCATTAAAAAAATATACATGTTTAGCGTCCCCGCCCGCTTTTTTTTAAATATTTTTTTAAAATTTTTTTAAAAAATATTTTTGAAAGAAAAAAACAGCGTTCCCGCCTGCTTCCTTTGTGGGGGCCGCCTCCTATTTTTTTTTTTATTTATTTATTTTATTTATTTATTTATTTTTTTTTTTTTGAAAGAAAAAAAACATGAAAAGCACTGCTAAAATGTATTTCTGATTTTAAAAAAGAAAAAAAAAAATTGTCGGCCGCCATCTTGAAAAATAGCCTGAATGTCAGGGAAAATGTACGGAGCGGCCATTTTGAAAGAAAAAAAAAAGAAAAAAAGGGCCTCCTTCCCATTTTTCAAAAAAACAGGACGCTAAACATGTTTTTTTTTTAATTTGGCCTTATATAAAAAAAAAAAAACGATTCAACTATACCGGTAGTTATTCTTTAAGCCACTGGAACTGCGTAGAGTTCCGTAGTGTGGCGTACCGACTACGCAGAAATTAGGCTGCGTATTAATGGGAAAATAGTCCCTGCGTAGGTTATGCGTAGGCCGACGTACAGGTTTGCTTATGGTTGCTTACTGTGTGGAAAGCTTTTACTGCTTTGTCAATCTGGCGTAGGGTAGCGTACTGTTGCGTAGTCATGTAGCGTAGTGTTGCGTAAAAAGGCGTACTTTCTGCGTCAAGTTTCTACGCCGAAAGTACGCGAAAAAAATTAAACATGTTGAATTGTTTTCGTTCATCTTGCGTACCCCTTTCCGTCCCCCAGCATATAGTAACGTAGGCCAGCGTAGTTGGTACGCAACACTACGCAACTCTACGTATTGACCCCACGCCAAATAAAGTATTGAAAATATGCTCATCTGACCCTAATTAAACGCCTAAACCCCCCGAGCTTTCGGGGGTTTATGGCCCCTTGAAACCCGTGGACCCCACGCCTACACTCAACTCGCTTCGATCTACCTGATCCCCCTCGCCCCCCCCCACAACCCGTGGACCCCACGCCTACACTCAACTCGCTTCTATCTACCTGACCCCCCCCCCCACACTTTGAAAAATGTTTTGTGGGGTCTGCATGTAACATGTAAGATGCAGATTTTTTTTGTAACATGTAAGATGCAAAAAAAATATTTTGCCCCCCCCCCCCCCAACGATCTTATGGCACTTCGGCCTGCCCGCTGTTGTGTTCACGTGTAGGCCTACTTCAATGAATGGATAGACATAAATAGTCGCATGGATGGATACATAATATAGCGTATAGTTGTCGAATATTGGCATGTTTGGCCCTTCATAGTCTCTTCGACTCTGAATAGCTAGCTCACTCACTCAGCTCAGTCGAGCAGCCAGCGCAGCTGCACTGCACTACACACTGTACGCGTACGGCAGAGCTCTTGAAACTGAACGATGTTTTTCTCTGATTTTCTTGTGAAAACTTTCCTTTAATA